TTCATCAAAAAATTCCACCGGGAAGATGCCCAAACGGGCTCGGCCGGACGGGACAGCCCGTCAGGCCGGCCTGATGAGATGATTTCTCTATATATATATATACATACACATATATAAGTGCTCCTGAAAAGAAAAAAAAAGTGCTCCTGTCCAGCAGTTCGGACAGAAGCTTCCGTCCGAACATCGCCGTTTGGGGCGGTTCCCAGTGGAATTTTTTGATGAAATTTGTTGATCATGTTCTTCATCAAGTCTAGTTTATCCACAAAACATTTCAGATCAAACTTCGATCGGGAAGGCAGTCAAATAATTTTTTTAAGTTAACTGCGCCAAATTATACATGCAAAAACGCAATTAACTTCAAAACATTATTTGACTGTCTTCCCGATCGAATTTTGACCTCATTGTTTTTGTGGATAAACTAGACTTGATGAATAAGATACTCCAAAAATTTCATCAAAAAAATCCACCAGGAACCACCCCAAACAGCGGTGTTCGGACGGCGGCTCATGTCTGAACTGCTGGACAGAAGTCAATTAAATAAATTATTGAAAAGCATTGGATTTGTACGTATACATATTTTGTTGCATTGTTTTTCAGTAATTTATTTAACTCACTTCACGATTGAATTTTAAGTTGAAATCTTATGGGCATAATTTGCATTTGATGAAAAACGTTTTCTTAAAATTTCATAAAAAGTTCCACTCGAAAGCAGATTAGTCTGATATGATTATTTGATTAGTTTATTAATTGATTTCATTCATAGTTAATTGTTTGATTTCTTAATTGTTGATTGTTTTCTATTGAAGGTTGGTGTTATAAGTTGTTGATTTTGTTAGACAAACATTTTCAATTATGTTAAAATTTATAAATTTAATTAATTTCAAGGTGTAATAAAAAGGATTTACTTGTATATCAAAAGAGGAGAAAATTAGACAAAGCAGCGCCAAGTAAAAAAATTCAATGGAAAGTTTACTTGTGTAAAGAATTTAAGTTGTGAATGTTCCCTTCAAGATGAGAACTCATAGAAGAACAATAATTTAGCTACTAAAAATAAAATGATTCAGAATGATTACATCATTGGAGGGGAGAATTTCGGAGGTGATAATAATAGAGTTAATTTCTTAAATTATTGATTTATGCATTTGTATAGTGTACATATCAGATCATCATTGTTTCCTTCTTAAATAAGGATCACCAATATTATAATATGATTGATTTAGACAGAATAGGGTTTTACAAATAGGCATTGCCTTGTATGCGATAATTTAGGAATTAGCTTAGGGTGCCATTAGGCGCAATCACATTGTGCAATTACAAACAATGGTTTTGGGTTGGAGGGAGTATTGCATTTTCTTTAACATACATAAGAAAATAACATTTCATTTCATGGCATCTGTTTTTCCTTTCCTTAGCTAGCTTATCTTCTGTGATCCAAACAAACCCTTTAGTATATTTGAGAATTGTATAGATGGGTAGTAGGGAATATGAAAACAATCTACTTTTCTCCATTTTCTTTGTGCAACTGCTCGTGAACATCGATCTGTTTTGAAGTGATACAATGAACAAGATGGCGAGCAATGGAATATGAACTGACTGGCATAGTTGATTTGTATTTGCACCAATATCACATTATTATCACACGTCCTCCTCATAAGTACGTACGTGCATGGATGGGTACATTTTTTATTCTAATGTTTGCTACCGTTTTGTCCTGGTCGAAGCTTCTATCTCCGTCCGTTTCTGATGTTGTTTCTCCCGGTCGCCGTCTGATTTGGAATCAATTTCTTCTATTCATTTATGATAAATTCTTTATATTCCTTTTTTAGTTATAATAAATAGAGCCTAGTTTCAATTTTTATGTCTACTAATAATATACTAGGTCTAAAATCACTATTATTGTAACACCATTGTCACAATTATACATTTATTATTTGTATTCTTATTGAAACTATGATATAACAAAAAATTCCTTAAATGAGATTCAATAAAGTGCACAAATAAAACTACCATGTTTTTTTCTAATAAGACTCATTCACTCTTAAATGAGGAAGTTCTTTTTTTAACAAATGACGAAATTTTATACCTTTAATAGGATCAAATAGTTAGTCCTATTTGTACACTTTATTTATGGTTTTAACCTTATTTGAAGAAATTTCTTATGATATTCTTATTATTGAGGTCGAAACATTACTTAGTTTATTTTGCAAAATTCACTGTTAAATTCTTGTATTAAGATTGTCTTTGTTTCATTGATATTATTATTTAAAATATTGTCTAATTTTCAAAATATTAGTTTCTTTGTTTCCAATAATCATTTGTTTACTACTTTTGAAATTAAGTTTATATTATGGTTTAACAAGTTTGATTTGTATTATTACTTTTTAAATAGTAAGGAAAATACGAATTTGCATAGTTTAAGAAAATATTAATTTATAATGTTTATATTAAAATTCACATATCAAAATTCATCTTTTGATACATTCAGCCCTCTGTGGGTTTTATTTATTTATTCTTAACTGAGACATATTATACTTGTGAGAAATTTGTAATTTTTATACTTTTACAAAAACTTTTTTAACAAAGAATATTTTCATTAATTTTTCATACTTTAAATAATTTATTTGTAAAATATATCATTGGTCAAACTTGGTCATCATAGACCAAGAAAAATCAATATACCAAATTTTTAAAGTGTACTTCGGTTATAAAAGTATTGATGTGAACAAGAAATTTATTGGGAATCTGGGATAAAAGAAAAATAAAAATAAAAAAAATTATATGTATTGTTTTGTAATAGTCCGATATTTTTCAGTCTTCAAAAGCTAAAACCTATTTTGATTTTTATTATTACTTTTTAAATAGTAAGGAAAATACGAATTTGCATAGTTTAAGAAAATATTAATTTATAATGTTTATATTAAAATTCACATATCAAAATTCATCTTTTGATACATTCAGCCCTCTGTGGGTTTTATTTATTTATTCTTAACTGAGACATATTATACTTGTGAGAAATTTGTAATTTTTATACTTTTACAAAAACTTTTTTAACAAAGAATATTTTCATTAATTTTTCATACTTTAAATAATTTATTTGTAAAATATATCATTGGTCAAACTTGGTCATCATAGACCAAGAAAAATCAATATACCAAATTTTTAAAGTGTACTTCGGTTATAAAAGTATTGATGTGAACAAGAAATTTATTGGGAATCTGGGATAAAAGAAAAATAAAAATAAAAAAAATTATATGTATTGTTTTGTAATAGTCCGATATTTTTGAGTCTTCAAAAGCTAAAACCTATTTTGATTTGTATTATTACTTTTTAAATAGTAAGGAAAATACGAATTTGCATAGTTTAAGAAAATATTAATTTATAATGTTTATATTAAAATTCACATATCAAAATTCATCTTTTGATACATTCAGCCCTCTGTGGGTTTTATTTATTTATTCTTAACTGAGACATATTATACTTGTGAGAAATTTGTAATTTTTATACTTTTACAAAAACTTTTTTAACAAAGAATATTTTCATTAATTTTTCATACTTTAAATAATTTATTTGTAAAATATATCATTGGTCAAACTTGGTCATCATAGACCAAGAAAAATCAATATACCAAATTTTTAAAGTGTACTTCGGTTATAAAAGTATTGATGTGAACAAGAAATTTATTGGGAATCTGGGATAAAAGAAAAATAAAAATAAAAAAAATTATATGTATTGTTTTGTAATAGTCCGATATTTTTCAGTCTTCAAAAGCTAAAACCTATTTTGCACCCATTTCAAACTCTATAAAACCGTTAAAAATATTCAATTATTCAATATTTGATTCAGTACCATTACGAGATTTACGGATAGGTTCAGTACCGGTTTAGTTTTTATGTCCACCCTTAAAAGCCGGGTCAGGACCGGGACCGGGCCAGGTCTTGGGCGGGTCAATTTTTTGGGCATTAGGCCCGGTACCGGCCCGGGTAGGTTCCGAGACCAAGCTGGGCCCGGGTCCGTCTTATATTTTTTTTAAAAAAAAATAGTTTTTCTTAATGATCCCTACCCCCCACCACCCCACCACCCAAAGCACCCAACCCAACCCGCCTCTTACCCAATCCATTCGAAAAACTAAAAAAATAAAAAAAAAATTGGACCCGGGCCGGTTCCAAGAGGGCTGCAGCCTGAGCCCGACCCCAAACCCCCCCGGTTCAGGTCCAAGGCCCAGGCCGGGGGTCCGACCAGTCCCGGTCCAAGCCTACCTTAAAGTAGTACACAAATAAGGATCTCTCTCTCTTCAGATGGCAAAAATGAGAGGAATTAAAATTGGTTAGCAACCATAATGCGAGCACACGGGTTCGTACAATCAGGAAAACCAGGCCATAATTCCCAAATGAGAGAATGATGGCTATAAGCCTATAACATGGGAATTTCTTATAATAAAGTAAAAAAGCTAAAAACATAAAGAAAACAGTTTTATGCCCTACGTTACACTAACCAATGAATGAACATGTAAGCACAACCTCTCTAGGAATAGGGTAGTAAGCCAGTAACCAGTCAGGTCCTTTGGGACAGGATATAAGAGCTCAATGAAATCATTGCCGAAGGGCAACTGGTTAGCTTGAAAGGTCGCTTTCACACTCATTACAAGACCCAGCCTGAAAACCATGAGGGCTGTGAAATTAGTAGTTGTTTTGCCACATCTGTTGAGGGGACTGTGTAGGCTGATGCCCTTGGGCCCCACCAGTTAATGAACCATCTCTGGGGTTTTGTTTCTGCTGCTGATGGTCTATTGATATTCCACCTGTATGTGAATGGTAGAAGTTCGGGTGGCCCAAAGATCCATAATTCTGTGGGGGTGGTTGCTGTTCAGCTTGTCTGAACCCACCAGGTTGCTGTTCAGCTTGTCTGAACCCACCAGGTTGCTGTTCAGCTTGTCTGAACCCACCAGGTTGCTGGTGCTGCTGTATCTGATAACTGTAATAATTACTGGCGGTGGGAAAAGATGACATTGTTCTTGAATTAGGTCCATGTAGCCATGTAGCAGGATTGTTCTCTCCCTGGAAAGAAACAGGGAAAGTAGAAATAATAAAAATTATTGAAGTAGAGCATATTAGTGTTTTGGTTTCAAGTTTCTGAGAAAAAATTGCAGAATCTTGAACACTGTTGGGCAAAGGACTTTAAAGTTTTGTTTGTTTCCAGAAATATGCTTCCGTTTTTTACACCACGAAATCATTTGGGTCTGGTTGGGTGAGTTTGGATGGAACAGGAGCTGATGATTAATGTTTGTTTTATTGATTCATCCCTACTTTAGAGTCTTGGGCTAGAAAACAACCGAGTATATGTTTAGTTACATAATCATACTGTATTTCTCTATATTTTGTATCTTTTTCACAGGGTACCCGCAACTGCTATGGTCAGAGTGCATTAACATGCAAACCACACCAGCCAAGTAAACTACACTAGGTAATCCCGGTGTGACAAACTCGACAAAGAAGGTGTTGGCAGGGCCGATTTGTGATCTCTCAGTTATTACTTCAGCTATTCCACCAACCCACCACCCTTACAAGTTTTTTATCATCACTTTCATTCTGACCATCTAAATGTAAGAATAAATGAATAAAATAAAGCATTATTACCTAAATATATCCCCAACTATCATTAAATTCACAAATTTATCTTATTCTTTAACATTTACCAAAATAAGACTAAAACTTCAACTTTTCACAATTACACGTCCAATAGATTATTAGTAATATTTTAAAAGAAAATCTTATTTCTATTTCATATTTTTCATTTCTTTCTGGTTTTAAGTTGAGAAACTTATATTGCTTATAATCTTTTATACAAAATCCTATTTCTATAAACAGTATTTTTTTACTTGTGGTGAAATTAGTATTACTTATTATAAATAAAACAATAGCGCATAACATATGAAACATAACTAGTAAGATGAAACAGTCACATAAAACTGTATAAAGAGTTTGAAATTTTATTGGTATCAAATAAGTTTTATTAAGCAACAAAAATTGTTGTTTGAACTATTTTAGCAACTTCTATAAAAACGGTAATTTATCAGCTAGTTAATTCATGGATTAGTTACACTATATAATTATATACTAGTATTACTTTTTGATATTTTCTTTAAAAATCTAGTTATAGATCAATATATATGGTTGTAAGAATTTATTTTAAACTCATGCTAATTTATGAAGAAAATAGAAGTACACTAAATAAAAATTATGTAATTTAATACAAGTATATAAAAAATATCGATATTGAATTATTGATATAAATTTGTAATTTTGAAGTCACTACGGAAAAGTATAATTGTTAAAAAAGATGAAGTTCAAGTCTTAGTTAGGGATAGGGATATAATAAGCTAATAATCCTAAAATCAATATCCTCCAACCCCCCCCCCCCCCCCCCCTTTACAAAATGCTGCCAACGAAACAAAGGCTTAGAGTTTGAATAAATATCATATACTTTCATAATAAATCATACTACCTCCACCCCTGAAACAATGCCCTAGTTTGACTTCACACATATTAAGGAAATGAATTTGACTTCACACTGTAGCGACACTATTTGACACTGTTTGACACTGTTTTGACACTACTTTGCTCTCTTTGATATAGATTGTTTACCAAATAAGGAAGTTAAAGAAGCGGGACTTTAATTTAGGGACTTCCATTTTGGGAAAGTAGGACATTGTTTCAGGAAGGGAGGGAGTATAAACCAAATATGCATACAATTTACTGAGCAAGTTTTAAATTTTACACATTCAAAACAAAAGTATTAACAAATAACAGTAAACGTTACTAAACAGACCTTTACCTGCTGAAGAGACATTAGAAGATTGTTGTCCTTGTACTGAGGAATTGGTGAATCATCGTAGCCCAAGGAAGTAACTGACGGAGCTCCGGCAGGGGTATTCATTTCAAAGTTACCGGAAACTGCATTTGTATTCCCAAATGAACCATAGCCAGAAGGAATGCCACCACCAGATTGGGGAGGCAAACTGCTAACTGATACACCACTGCTCTTGTATTGAGGGTGCATTGCAGCCAACGGTTGATGGTAAGCACTGCTACCCGCAAATGCTTGTTGGAAAGCAGAGGGCATGTATGTATAACCTTGAGGCAGAAAAGGAGGATAGCCAATCATGTTGCCATAGGGACTCAATGCAGGAAGCGTGTGTTGCGAATATGGATGTAAATTGAGGTGTTGTGGTAAAGCTGGTCCTGTGAGACCACTCCCATTAGGGTTCTGCTGACTAGGTGGATGTGCTGATGACATACCGACATTTTTTAATCCCTGCAGCACGTTAATAGCACAATCAACTTCAGTCATTGCATAAATAGGTTGAGGGGGATCTGGGGACTAGGGAAATTTCCTGGGGTCACCCTAAGGGCCTGAAAAAAAACATGGAAATGCTAAGGAAAGTAAATAACATAAATGGATGAGAAGATTGGAATGAAAGAAAATTGAAGGAACGTGAAAAACATGCTCAAACTCAATAAATCAATTTTATTTATCTGTCTGAACCCATTTTATTTGGCTATTTCTATTAAATGGAGACTACAGATTTCCGTCAAAAACAAACTAAAGAATCTGAACGTGTATATTTTCAAAACATGAATTCATATTTGATGTTCTTTCATATCTTCCAATGTAATGTGAAACATTAAAATTCATTTACCTTGACATTTTCTTTCTTCTCCCTACCATTTTCCAAGTTCCAAATATAGCCTTAAGTTAAGGATATTTTTCAAACTGACTCTAAATGTATACATGTATATCAATTGAAGGTAAGTTTCATGAAAGTGCACCTCTGGCATGGATATTGATGAGCCAACTGTTTTCATAGCCTGCACCAGGTTAATAACCAAAACATTAAAAGGGGAAATTACATGTTTACATGATTATCTATTGGAAAGCCAATTGCAAGAATGTGCACCTCTGGCATAGAAAGAGACTGACCACCAACAGAAGAAACTGAGTTGCCACACTTTGGGGGCATTGTGTGTGTGGGAAATATTGAGTATGAAATTTCAGACTCCCTAAAAGCGTGAGCATTAGCTGCCAACAAATTGCTTGGTAACGAATTTGTGTATCCCTAGTTTCAACAAAATTCCAAGAGAATCAATACAAAAATAACTTCGCAATGCATGCCAGACTGCTTAAAAACTCATTAAAATAATGAGGCAACACTAAGCAATCAGTCCAGTTACTAGGGGAAAGGGGCAGAAGTATGTCAAGTTACTACATGAAAGAAATATGTCAGAAGGAGATTCATATCTATCAGAATGACCAAATATGTGTCATCAAGGGTGCAGTTATTCACCATCTGGAAGGAGGCTGAAGTTTCCTTGCAGAATTGCATTATTCACTTATTGTTTTTTTAATTACAAATGCCCCCATCTGTCACCTTTTTATCTTCCAACTTTCCTTGTTGGTCGTCTCTAATTAAATCTTATTTCCCTTGAGTAAAAATTGTTTGTTTCAAATTCTTCCCTTAATGAATAAATTTCAACTACATAAATTTTCATAAACTTTTTGCCACGTCATATCCTGCATAAAATGGTTACACAGGCATACTTGTCACGGCGGTAAGGCGAGTTGCGGCGCCAACGGACAGCCTTACCGCCTAGGCACCCGCCTAGGCGACAATTAGGCGACTAGTTATATCATATGTAATATGTGTACCTGTATATATTATACAAATACTGTTTCATACAAAAAATATAGTTTAGGAATTAAAAGAATAACGCAAGAAAATAATACTATAGCAGCTTCACTGAGAACGTAACCTGCTATAAAAAATAAATTGCACTGCAAAAACAGAAAAACAAATAATAATAATAATAATAATAATAATAATAATAATAATAATAGTTAAATACGGAGTATTACAACATCCAAGCCTTAGTCCGAAAAGATTTTGGGGTCGGCTAACATGAATTGATCCATGTTATCCATGTTATGCCAAAAAGAGAGGACATACAAGAAGAATAAAAATATGGAGTATTCAACAACAACAACATCCAAGCCTTAATCCCAAAAGAATTTGGGGTCGGCTAACATGAATCGATCTATGATATCGATGCCAAACAGTGAAGACGAGAAAGGAGAGGGGAGGGGAGGGAGAGGGGAGGGAGGGAAGGGAGGAAGCGAAGGCAGGGAAGGGGGGGGAGGGGAGGGAGGGAGGGAGGGAGGGAGGGAGGGAAGGATAAAATAAAGATAAATAAATATAAGAAAACAATACCATAAGAAAATAAAAAATAAAAAAAGATAGAAAGATAAAAGAACATTAAAAAGCTAGAAGATAAAAATAACATTAGAATATAAAAAGATAAAGAAGATACACGATAAAAGAGAAGAGAGAGGAAAGGTACAAAAGACATCAATCGTCCACACGGATGTGCGCCCTCCACTTTGCTCTCTCTAAAGTCATACTCGCATCCAGCCCAAGAAGACGCATATCAGTTCTTATTCCTCTAATCCAAGTCTGTTTGGGTCTTCCCCTCCCTTTCTTCTCTGCCTCTTCTCCCCACCCCTCAAGTCGCCTAACAGATACATCACTTGGTCTTCTACGCACATGCCCAAACCACCGCAAACGAGACTCCTGCATCTTATCTTCTATAGGCGCTGCTCCCACTTTTTGTCTGATTATCTCATTCCTCAAACGGTCTTTTCTGGTATATCCACACATCCAACGCAACATACGCATCTCCGCCACACTCATCTTTTGAATGTGGCATTGCTTCACCGCTCAACACTCTACGCCATACATTAATCCAAGCCTAATTGTTGTTCGATAAAATTTACCTTTCAGTCTAGTCGGCATACCTCGATCGCATAAAAATCCTGATGTACTCTTCCATTTCATCCACCCAGCTTTGATTTTATGACATACATCTCCATCTAATTTACCATCCTTCTGAATTATGGAGTCCAAGTAACGCAACATATCACACACCGGTATCTCTTTACCATCAAGAGTAATCCCACTGTTGCTACTACTTCTACCTCCCCCAAACTTGCACTCCATATGCTCAGTCTTGCTTCGGCTCAGTGTGAAACCCTTGGTCTCCAATGTTTGTCGCCATACTTCCAGCTTTGCTTTAACACCGGATTGCGTCTCATCAATCAATACAATATCGTCGACAAACATCATGCACCACGGTATATCTTCTTGAATTGACTTCGTAAGCTCATTCATGACTATAGCAAATAAGAAAGGACTCAGAACATATCCTTGGTGCGCTCTGATAGTAATAGGGAACTCCACGGTCCTCCTTAGACTAGTGCGGACACTTGTAGTACATATAATACTGATAACTTATGTGATATGCCTTTTCTAATTAAGACCCACCAAAGGATTTCTCGAGGTACACTATCATATGCAATTTCTATGTCAATGAACACCAAATGTAGATCCTTTTTAGTGTCTCTATACTTCTCCATAACTTGTCTAAGAAGGTGAATAGCCTCCGTTGTTGAGCGTCCTGGCATAAAACCAAATTGGTTCTCCAAAATTTTCACACTTTTTCGAAGTTTTTGCTCAACCACTCGCTCCCACAGTTTCATGGTGTGACTCATAAGCTTAATTCCTCGATAGTTGGCACATTCTTGTACATCAGCCTTATTTTTAAATAAAAATAAGGGAATGAGAGTACTCTTCCTCCAACTCACTGGAATTTTGTTATTTCTCCAAATCATGTTGAAGAAACGTGTTAGCCACTCAATGTCTTTCTCTCCCAAACTTCTCCAAGCCTCGATCGGTATGCCATCTAGGCCCACTGCTTTCTTCCGCCCCATTTTTCTCATAGCCTCTTTAACTTCTGTTGTTTGAATCCTTCTCACGGAGTCTCGATTTACCATTCACTCTGGTATAGTAAGATCATCAATATCTTGCACTTTATTCCCGTTGAACAAGGTATCAAAATATGACCTCCACCTCTCTTTTATTTCCTCGTCCTCCATTAGTACCCTTTGATCGACATCCTTCACACACTTAACTTTTTCGATATCTTGATTCCTACGATCATGAAGGCGAGCAAGTTTGTAGATATCTTTTTCTCCTTCCTTGGAATCCAATTTTACATACAATTCCTTGTTCACTTTTTCTCTGGCTTCCTTCACAACTTTCTTTGCTCTTCTTCTAGCCTCCTTGTACTCCTCTATGTTGTCGTCGCTCCAACTATTGCCCAATTTCTTATAGCATTCCCTTTTGGTCCTTATTGCTTGTTTCACCTCATCATTCCACCACGACGTGTCCTTTTTTGGTGGCAAACATCCTTTAGATTCTACGAGTATCTCTTTCACCACTTTGTTAATGGACTCCATTGATAACCACACATCATCCAAAGCTTAATTCAGAACGAAGGAGCTGCCTTAAAAAATCATCGTTTAGCTTGCTAGTTGCGACTTGCGACAGTCAACGGAAGGACTTGCCATGAAAGAGGGCGTTGTCTACCTTAGAAGAATTGTGACGGTTAATAGTGCGTCGTCTACATTCCTTGGTCTCCGCTCCTAATTTTCTACATTCCAAATCTGGTTTTGGGGGTTGGGTTTCTAAAATTTGATCTGGCAAGACGACTGGACGGCGCCATAGACACCTATAACTCGCCTAGACGATGCCTTTGTCACCTAATGTTCTTCAGGTGAGGCGATGACCCATGGCGACCCCTCCCTAGCGCCTGGACGCCTAGTCTCTGACTAGGCGACACCGTAAGATGTATGGACACAGGAGTACTCTACAATGACAACATCCAAACCTTATTCCCTAAAGACACAGGAGTACTTAAAATAAAATAAAATCCAATTACTTTTAACAAATATTTAACTGTAAAAAACTTGAATTAAAAGACTTAAAAGACCTAAAGAGCTTTTAAAGACCACCTCAAAATATAAATTTCGAGTTAAATACTCCCTCCGTCCCAAAATGGTTGGCCAAATTTCCTTTTCTGGCCGTTCCAAAATGGTTGGCCATTTCCATTTAAAGTAAGGAATATGTGGCTAAAGTTAATTCTCTCTCCTCTGCACAAATTTCAACCACACAATTTTTACTTTATTAATCTACGTGCAAGTCAACATTGGCCAACCATTTTGGGACGGAGGGAGTATGATTAAGCTGACAGAATGGTGTCTGGTATACAAGGTTGTCACGGTGTCGCCTAGTCGCCGACTAGGCATCCAGGCGCTGGAGAGTGCTCGCCGCAGTACCTCGCCTCGCCAGAAGAAAAGAAGTCACACTTGGCGTCGCCCAGGCGTCGTCTAGGCGCGATGTTGGCGACAAGCCTGCGCCGTTTTACATGTCGAACCCGGAGTCCCGAGGCCCAGAAAGATTTAGGCTTTAATTTCTTAATTAAGATTTAGGCTTTTAATTAACAATAAAGCCCAAAGCCCCAAAATAATCTATAAATCTAATAAACTTACGAATTAAGTCGCCAATCGCTTTGCCAAAAAAAAGTCGCCTAATCGCCATAGAGACGCAAGTCTACTCCAGAAGCAGGCGATGAGATGAACCGCAGTAACTAAACAACTCCAGCCTCCAGGAAGAAGACGACTTCCCAGGGTTCTGCTCTCTTCTCGTCCTAAGTGTGTAGCGGACTAGTGGCTTATGGTTTTTAAGATTTATAATTAATTGTATAGTTATATATTATTAATTATATAGTTATATACGTATTATTAATTGTGTAGTTATATACGTAGTCTATTATTTATGCGCATAATCCGCATATCCATTATCCATGTATTCTGTTTATTAATGTATTAATTTATTCTGTTATACTTTGTATGTTATAACTTATATAAACTAATAAACTAATAATACAAACTACTGTAGTATGTTATATATATATATATATAATTATATATAATATACACATAAAGGCAACTAGTCGCCTAGTTGTCGTCTAGGCGGGCGCCTTGTCGCCTAGGCGGTCAGCTGGCGCCGCGACTCGACTTACCGCCATGACAAGTATGCTGGTAGAAGAACACAGTTCCATTAAAAGCCACTGTCACTATGTTATACATTTCAGACACTCAGGCAGGAATAACAGGATACCCAAGGAACACAGTCATTACAGAGATAATTAAAAAAAAAGGTAGCGGACATACTTACCATTGCATTGAAAGAAGCTAGGCTCTGGACCTGCTGTGAGCTTGTCAAATGTTGAGCTTTCTCGTATTTATAGCCAGGTTCTGAGGAGGGAATGTTGTACTGATTCGCATGGGAAACTTCACCTGTTTCCACACTCAATGAATCAGGTTGTGAATCAGCAGATGAGTTGTAATTCCCAGTCCTATGAAACAAATTTCTATCCTGTGCATTTATCTCGCCACCATAGAATTCAGAATTTCTGCCAGGAAATGCTGAGTTAGAGCATGCATTTCTTATTTACAAAACACTCCCTTCATTCCTATTTGTATCTCTTCATTGACCAAGTCACGTCTTTCAAGAAAATGCATTGGAGTGATAAAACCAATCAGAACATCTTATACTTTACTTTAAAATCCCTCCTTTAAACAGCGAGTGATTACTCAATATGCCCTCATAAATCTGTCTCATTATTTCATGAGAAAAAGTTTGTGAGAAAAACATTTAATATGAAAATATCTCATAACACTAAGGACATACAAAATGAAACAAGCAAATTTGGACACTGAAAATAGATAAATAGGAACAATTGGAGTAAACAAGGAAAGACCCTCATGACACCATCACATGACTAGCCAATCACTATCATTATAAACAAGGGTATACACCTTGTCGGCAATTGCCCCATTGATGAATCTTCTGCATTTTCGACCACCTCCTCCACATGATTTTTAGACAGAGAAGATGTTGAGTGACCAGAAAGAGTGGCATTCATTCCAGGCCTGAAACTACCAAAACTCAGATGTGAACAATCTGCAATTTGAACTTGTAGGTGGTCCGGAATAACAACAGAAGGCCCCTCCTCTTCAGATGGAGCGTGATCCTTGTGTAAAGTCAGTTGTTGCATGTTTTCAGCAGCTAATGAAACTGTAGCATTTACATCTTGAACTGTAATAATATACAGACAGCACAAGTGAGTAAAAAAAACAAGGTTTATATCAAAGATGTCAGTGAAAATGAGTAAAAAGCAGGAGTACAAGTGCTCGCATTCTCATTCCTATATAACGTAGTATTTTTACACACAAAGAATCCAATGTTACATAAAATGTCATGCAAATGATAAAATTGTTCATAACAGCCAGCTCTCAAAACCCACCCACCAATAAGTACAAAATAGTTTTATTAACAGTAATGTGTAGAGCATTACTGTATAATTATTTATCATTTAGGCCCTCTTTTCAATCGTCGACTATCATTTGTCTTTCTGGATTTTAGATATAATTATTGTATCTTCAAATCAAAATATCAAATCATACTCAAAAAGAAAGTGCTTCTCAGTACAAGTAAAAATGACGTGCTAAGAAAGATGTCTTAAACAAGACATTAAGCCATGTTCAGAAAATGTGTCTGTGTCTGAAGTTGATTTCTCTCCCCCCACCATATATATATATAGGAAAAAGATCATGTCCATCCGGATGGACAGGAGGCGCCGTCCGTCCGAGGCCATCAGAGGCCTTCCCGGTGGAATTTTTTAATGAAATTTTTTGAGCAGGTTCCTCATCAAGTCTAGTTTATCCATACCAAATTTCAGCTAAAAATTCGATCGGGAAGGCAGTCAAACAAAATTTTGATGATAAATGTGCTTTATATACATATATAAACAGCGCAGTTTTGTTCCACAATTTATTTGACTGCCTTCCCAATCGAATTTTTAGCTGAAATTTGGTATGGATAAAATAGACTTGATGAGGAACATGCTCACAAAATTTCATCAAAAAAATCCACCAGGAAGGGCCTCTGATGGCCTCGGCCGGACGGCGCTTCCTGTCCATCCGGATGGACAGGATCATTACTATATATATATATATATATATATAGAGAGAGAGAGAGAGAGAGAGAAAACTTCATGTCAGGCCGGCCTGACGGGCTGCCCCGTCCGGCCGAGCCCGTTTGGGCACCTTCCCGGTGGAATTTTTTGAGCATGTTCCTCATCAAGTCTAGTTTGTCCATACCAAATTTCAGCTCAAAATTCGATCGGGAAGGTCGTCAAATGATTTTTGCAAGTTAACTGGTCCGGAATATGTATTTTCCGGACCAGTTATCTTGCAAAAATCATTTGACGACCTTCCCGATCGAATTTTGAGCTGAAATTTGGTATGGACAAACTAGACTTGATGAGGAACATGCTCAAAAAATTTCATCAAAAAATTCCACCGGGAAGGTGCCCAAACGGGCTCGGCCGGACGGGGCAGCCCGTCAGGCCGGCCTGATGAGAAGAGCCCTATATATATATATATATATATTACCCAAACCCACCCAAAACGATGGGGTAAGAGCCGAGAAGCTCTTACCGAGTTTTATTGAAATTATTTTAAAAGGTACAAATGCCAATGAAGGAAGAAAGTTTCAGTACAAACAAGCTGTGAAAAGTAAAAACGCTAAGGAGAAAAATAAAAATATGCATGCGTGCGTGCGTAGGTATGTATGTATGTATGTATGGATGCATATAGTTAAAAAAACATTTCATCCTAAGGTGAAGGCAATAATTTAGGTATAGTAACACAAACAACATTCTAAAGGCACAACCGGTAAGCTGTATACTCACATTCCTGCACCACTAAAGAACTATTATGATCATTGTGTCCATAGGTGTCACTGTCATTGTCTTGCTGTGACTGAAGTCCAGTACTGTCTTCCGACATTCTGTCAGGAATAGGACCAGATGATGGCATATGTCTGGTACCGATGTTTAAGCCATGATCTTCTATTTCCTGAATCTCATCTACTTGGAAATGTTCGTTACTTCTATCAAAGCCCACATTAGAAGAGACAGGATATGGTTGAGGTTCTACAGCAGCCTCTGAGTTATGATGTGAAATAGAAGCCGGTGGCTGCTCAATTAAGGGCCACTCGTCGCTATTATTTGAATCATGTTGAATAGAGCATGCCCCCGAGTCCAAGTGTATTTCAGAATTTCTAGAAGCATGATCATTACAAAAATGATGTGCCGCATGGTAGGAATGTCCATGATCATGGTTAAAATTGACATTTTGTTTAGTGGGGGGCCTGCCCATCTTAACGATATCAGCCATAGATACTTGACCCGGAACACTCACCCAAGAAGTTTGATGTCCAGTAGAAGGATGTAGGGCTGATGAAATATGATCAGTTGAAACAGCCAATGAGTTTTTGTTTTCACTACCAAGGACATTACTGAAATACAAAAAACAAGATTAAAATACAAAAAAAAATATAGCATAGATTTAAAAACAGGTAAGAATTAATGTAAATTTGTTCAAGATGCATATTAAAACAACTCATCCAGGTAGATTGAACCATCAAGGTAGATTGACAAGATTATTCATTATACAAACATAAATTTACATGAACATACACCTAAAAATACCCCCCAGCGAAGCAAAAAAGGAAATATGAGTGTCAACTGTAATTGTTCACAAATTTCAATTAAAAACAGGTTCTTATTGCAAAGATTTACGAAATAAAACAAGGATAGTGCTGAGTCTAACCACAGCCCTTAAGGAATCGATTAAGATAACAAAATAGGGAAAAGACTTTTATTGACAAATGTAAAAATGAACCCACCAATGATATTGAAATGCCCTCGAACATGATTCGCAATAAAAGATTTCCTTTTTTATTTTGATTTCTCAGCCAATTCCCTGAGGCTGTGGTTAGCTTTACTCATAAAACAAACAAGATAGAAGGTAACAGAGAATGCTAAGCTCTGAGCCTCTGACACGGCTCATTCATACTACAGCCTACAGGCTCAGTTATACTCTTGGCAAGGGACAGACACAGTGAGAAACTGTAAGGAAATAGAGCTCCAAACTAAAAACAAACTAAAAATGTGTATACATCTACCTATAATGGAAAGAAGATAATAATGTCAAGTAAACCCTCCGTTCCGTAGAAAGGTTTTCACTTTCCTTTTCTGGACGTCCCATATAAAAGTTCCAATTTCTATTTTAGGAAACAATTAACAATCTTAAATGACAATTTAAACATTAAATATTAAAAAAAATACATTTATAACATCACAATTATCAAAACTAACCCCATTATATTACACACCTATTAAAATTATGAAACAATTACATATTTATGAATAAAACAAAGATTGTTTACAAAAATGTGACTAGTGACTAAAGTAGTAATGAAATCATAGTAACTTATGTTCAATTGTTAAACTTAAGTTACCATGACACTACATTGTAGTAACTATTAGTCATTTTTTTGTAAATAAATTTTTTTAGTGATATTTTTGAAAAAAAACTCCAAAATTGTTTCTCAAAATATACTCGAATTACCTTATTTAATTAGTCTAAATAACTGTGCCGTTTCTCATGGGAACCTTTCAACGAGGCGGAAGTAGTAACATTTATCTACTCTTTTTCGGTTCACATTGATAAATTACTATTAGGTGGCATGCAACTAAGAGGCTACAGATGAGTATTTGCTTGAAGTCAGAATTAGCCAAAACTTTTTACTCCCTTCGTCCCTAAATAACCCTCAGTTCAACCAAACACGGGAATTAATAAAATGGAACTTGTGTGGTTAAAACTTACTTACAAAAGAGAGAAATAATATGAACCCCATCATGCTCTCATGAAAAAATATGATGATAAATTCGGGATAGGCCAAAAAGGAAAGTATATGGAATATTTACGGACAAAGGGAGTAAGTGATTTTAACATAGGAAATATCTTTGTACAATCACCATAAGACTTCCATTAAAAGCATCATGGAATAATATTAGTTGAATTTGGAACTTCATTAGAACTAACCTGGTGGCTGTAGGTTGCCAATGTATGTTGCTCCCAGCATACCCAGTAGCTAATGTTGTACTAGGCACATTGTCCTTCTTAGAAGCAGAAGTATATTTTGCATGCAATGTAGACTCTATAAAAGAACATGACAACAGTAACAGCATTTTTCTATGAATCAGATCGTTTTGTGCACTATTTCAACCCAACAGTTAGTCGATCTACGCAAAGACAAATATTCACTATGTAGATACCTGAGCAACCACGCCCAACAAACCGATCTGCACCACCCCTGCCTCCACGGAGTGAACTACTACCACTACGTGGCCTAGAGTCAGTAAAATCCTTATTCTGAGACATAGAAGAGACAAAACAAGAGGAGATAAGACCAAAAGGAAGACACAAAGCATATATGAATCCTCCTACTATGAGCTTAACACCTCTGCAAATGAATGCAAAATAAAACATTATGAAGTTTTCTGCTTCTAAACCTCTAATCTAAGGTCTAATTTTAGTCCACAGAAAGATTGAGTGGGAAGTAAGTCATATTTCTGGCTTGCATGCATTTTACTTTTCCAGATTTCACCCATTATTAAATAAACGGGAACATATTAAGGTGAATAAAAAAGTACAGCATTAATTACATACTCCCTCTGTATTCACTACCCTGCTTTTTCCCCTTAAATTTTGTGTCAAACCCTATTGTAGCAATCAAAAGAATACAGAGGGATTCGTAATTAGTTCCATATGTAGGTATGTACACTTCTATAAAACCACACACCTCTTTTCTCTTCTCCCGTTTGTTTTTCACCTCATGAAAAGGATCTAGTCCATAAAAAACTCACATTAGGAAAGAGTTCAATCATAAAAAGGAAAATTATATTCATAACAGTTTTAGTCATCAAATTGTAAACACAAAGTACTACAAAGCAAGAAGGGGATCGATGTTCCCAAAGAAAAGAAGAAGTTGCAGTGCTGATGTGGTAGCTTCTCTTGGTGAAAAATTCTACACTACCTAATTTTCCGTCTAAAGACAGAAGACCGAAAGTAAGGCCATCAAGACCTGAGATGAATGATCTCATGTATCAACAATAATGGCTTTTAAGTTATAACAAATGCTTCTGTGACTGAAATGGAACTCAAAGTGGACAGTGCAATAGCCAACAACCATGGCACCCAACACAGATTGGAACAGAATGAAACTTGTCATTGTAAGATAACATAAAATCTGGGATAGATAGGTAATTCCACTGTTTTGATTTTTAAATTGCATAATGCCGTACTGCCTTGAGGCATGCCTTAAGATTTTTTTTCCTATTTACGATGGGAGGTGTATCACAATATAAGCAATACTGAAACTTGAGCAATTGTACCAGAGGCGTACGCCTATTGCATTCGCAATAGTGCGTACATTTTCTGAGGAGCGCCTTATCTAGTAGAAGCATTCCTGTGAAGAATTAAGTTCTTCTACATGAGTAGACATGAAGTTGGGCCCGCTTCTGAATTTAAGACCAATTGCCCAAATATGTTTTAAAGATTACATATACAAGTCTTCTAAGACTTTACTTCTGCTGCTAGCCTGCAAGCTTACTTCTCTGAGCGATGGCGGCTGTGCTGAAAGACATAAGCAATGACAGCTGTGAAGGGTAGTTCTGGGTTCTATGTTTCAACAGTTCTCGGTGAAGGCTAAAGGCTGCGTGAATTTCTATTTATTTTGTTTCTTCACCACTTCACGACAAGCATGTGTGGTTTTAATTTATTTTTATTTTTTCTTTCAAATCATACGGGTATGAGCAGCTGCATGGTTTTAATAATAACGCAGAATATGAAGCGGGTAAGAAGTTTCGTGATTTTAACTTTATGAATTGTTTTTTTCATATATATATGCTGGATGAAAAAATTTACATTCTTATTTAAATTGTTTTTTATTAGCGTTCATATGAAAACTGGATAAGTAAAAACACAACTTGAAACAATACTAATGTTTTGTTACCTTTGTTTTTGTTAATTATAATCCTGATTATTGTGTTGGTAACTTAGTGCAAAATATGAAATTTGTTCAGTAAGATGCATCTATGTCCATAGTTAGTTGGTTTTATGACCTCATTTTTCTCGATTTGGTGATGATAGTTGTTGGCTTTTAATGATTATTTGAATTTATTTTTTACTACATTATTTGTATTTTTTAATATAAATTTACGTAAAATGAGTATTATGCCTCGTTGTGCAATGAGGCTTACGCAATAAGAAATGTTCAGAAACAACCTCAAATATGCAATACTCAATTTCAAGCATTGAGTAACTCAATTTGTCAACTAAATTTGTACCGCATGCTACATAGCAATGCATTGGGAAAAAATATGCCAAAGATGTCACAAACAATGAACCGTACAGAAAGCATTTCATTGAAAAATATAACCAATAAACATACACAACAACTAACATCACAAGATGCATGAGATCGAATTGGTACTTATTCTGCAATAAACATTGCCCATAAGTTGTAACAGTCAATAAAAAAATAAAGTGGGTCATTATCCCAATCATTAATGCATCACTGATGAGTAAGCTGCAATCTAGTTTCTTCTCCCAGTGTTCTCTTGCCATGGTAATCAAGAAAAGGTTACCTTAGTAGAGAAATAAAGTAAGGAGACACTCTCCACCCACTGACCCACCCAAAGATAATAATTCAATAGAACCAAATTAAAATGGTAGTTAGCGTGTGCATTCATCAACTGACTCACAAAAGAAATTGAGGATACAGAAAATAAATAAAATCTTGACATAAAAAGGAAAGAAAAAAAGGAAAAAAAAAAGCTTCCTCTATGATAGAACATTTTTTACAGAACTGAACTTGAAAAATGATAGTTGGGAGAATGCCATTGAACACTTGTGATTTTTTCAGTCTTGATGCAGAGTAAAAAAGGGAAACTAATACGCTAAACAGAGTAAAAACCTCAAAATTCTAGATGCATTTACATCAGACAATGTGAAAGTAAGAACTATTATGTTCTTTAGGGTTTATCGCGGAGAATTGACCTTGAGAGAGAAGCCTATTGACGGCTTCATTGGGGTCCATATTACACTCTTTGAGAACAGCATAGATCTCAGAATCTGGATAGTTGTTCACTACCTCCTTCAAACTCTCCACCATCTTCCGAGACCCCGCGGGTATAATCCCAACTCCGCCGCCGCCGCCATTGATAAGTTTCCCTTTGCCACTCATCTTCTCACTTTCTCCCTTCCAGAGAATATACGCACGATATAATTCCTTGGATCTGGTGAAGGATGGTCCTCTCTCCCACCCTCAATAAATTGCTATTACGTATTTTTTTGTCTCTAAAAGTAACTTCTTCTTTTTTTTCAAAACCCTCGGTGAGAATTTTATAAGAAAAAAATAGCAAGAATAAACAAATGAATTTAGAGCTCGTTTTTTTTTGTCTCTAAAAGTAACTTCTTCTTCTTTTTTCAAAACCCTCGGTGAGAATTTTATAAGAAAAAAATAGCAAGAATAAACAAATGAATTTAGAGCTCATTTGGTAGCATGAAAATCGGCTATTTTGGCTGATTCTGCTGAAATTTATGAAGTTCTGGCGGAAGTGGTTGCATTGGTTGATTCTGCTTATTTAAGAAAAAATTATTTTAAAAATATATTTTATTGATAAAATAAAGAAAAAATTACATGTAAAAATAGCTAAAATGATCATCAACATTAACTTCAGTCAATACAACCAGGAAAGTAACTTCAACCTTACTTTTTCTGCTTATTACACAATTCAGCGCGCAAAAGTAAAAGTTACGTGTTTGGTGAAAAATTTGGCTGAAAAGCCTGATAAGCCGAAAAACAGTGTTATCAAACGGCCTTTTAGTTGTACAAATTGTCCATTAATGAGTCTCTAAGGATATACTAACTCCGTCCTCTTTTTATTGTCCCTTTACGGTTTACGATGTTTGACCGACGATAAAGTAGACGGATCCTTGTCCGCACTAACATAATTTTTAGAAAAAAAAATACATATTTAAAAACTACATTAAAAGCTTTACAAAGTCGCAAAAACCTGAATCAAATTTGATAAATTTTTTATATATAAAGTAAGAAATTAAGAGTGATTTGTGTTGACCAAGTGAATAGAAACTGGGACAATATAAAGGGGACGGAGGGAGTAATTCATAATGAAATGTTTTAAGTTATAAATAATAATAATAAATACAAATAAGACTACTACTTTTCAAATTTTCCAAATAGGTTTTTTTTTAACGAAAACTAGCATCTATTCATATCATAAGTTTCAGGATCATTATATCAATCAAAGGAAAAACAGACCTGACACCAACTAGACTCCAACAACTACGACTGTAAACCCTATGATGAGCCTTAGAAACGGTCACCTCTGGAAGAGCAACACGAATTGGTAATCATGTAACGGGCTTGACCCAGCCATCCATATTTTCATAGATCCAAACATGCTCAATGACATCAAACAATGCTAAATCCCAAACAAACTAACAAGCTTAACAACATAGACGATAACAAGAAACCAAATGACAAAATAATGAAAACTTATTGAAAAACTTTCACGGACTCTAACATCTCGCACAACCCATGGCGGTGGTTCAGGAGGAGGCCATATCCTTGGTACCACTCTAATTGATCATCCATTGTCAATCACCATCTGGCATGCTCGAAATCCGTGCAACTCTCCTCATCTCGCGCTCGTAACAAATCCACCTCTAACGGTCATCTTCATCGTTGTCATACTTTGGCTTCGATATTCGTCAAGCTTGGGCAAGGTTTCTTATCAACCGGCCGGAAGAACCAAACCTTAGATCTGCTAAGGAAAAACCAAACCCTAGACCTGCTAGGGAGAGACCGTCATTGTTAATCTAGCAGAAGAAGAAGTGGTTCGTTCGTCCACCCTCCGCTGGAAAGATCTGATTGTCGCCGCCTAGAGTTTCCCCTCCATTAGCTCTAGATCGCGGCGCATCAGGTTGAAGTTGTAATGAGAATTACATTCCTATTTTCAAAATGGGATTAAAAATTGATTTTCTACCCTAAATACTTCCAAGGGTATAATCCGTAATGAAATGTTTTAATTCATAATAAAATCGTAAAAACTAATAAAAAATCTTTAAAAATAATACTCCCTCCGTTCCAAAAAAATATTTCTCACTTTCCTTTCCGGGTTGTTCCAAAAAATACTTCCCACTTTCCATTTTTGGATAATTTGTGTGGCTTACATTCATTTTACTTTTTTCTTACATAACTACAACCATACATTTCCATTTTATTCTATTTTTTTAATAAGCGTGCCAAGTCAAACTGAGAGTATTTTTTGGAACGGATGTAGTAAAAATTATTAAAATATTTTTAAAACAAACAAAAATTTAAAAAATCGCTTTTTTAAAATAAATAGTAAAAACCATAAAAAAAATATAAAAAAAGTAGATGCCTTTCCCACCGCCTCCCAGCACCACCACCTCAATCGGTGAAAATTCTGTCACTTTGTAAAAAAATACCATTTTTTCTGAAAATGCCAAGAAGATGGTACAATTAATATTCATTATGTCAACATTTTCATTGAATTTGCCATCATTATGGCATTACTAAAAATGTTGACAGATTTTTTTCGGTGATGGGAGCTAGTGGTGTTGGGGGTGGCAGAGGCGAAGTGTTTTTTTACGTTTTATTTTATTTAAATAAATTTTTATTTTATAAATGTTTTTTTTTTTACTTTTTTACAAATTTTTTATCTTTTATGATTTTTATTATTTTTATGATTTTATTATTAATTAAATCATTTCAAACGCTACAAGGGTATATTTGTCCAACACACATAAATTGTCCTATTAGGGGAATTTAAAAAATATAGTCCTATTTGTGCAATTTTGCCACTTTTTAGCCCTATTTAGGGATAAATTTTATAAAGTTTATCAATAAACTTTTTCAACAAACTCCATGATTTTTTATTTCGAGCAATGAAATATGTAACAATAAAAAAAGGTAAGTTTAAAATTACTTTTTCGACTATATTGACTGTCGTTACTGTATATGATCATTTTTGTTATTTTTCATATGATTTTTTTTTTTATTTTGTTAGTAAAATTTGTTTTAAATATAATTTTTGCATTAATCAACAAAATCAATCAATCCAGCCATTTCAGTCATAACTTTATAAATTTCAGCAGAATCGACCAATACAGCCGGTTTAAGTATTATACCAAACGGGCTCTAAAAGTCTAAATGCACAAGTATATTATGGCCTCGTTTGTTTTTAGTTGATTGGTGTCTTCACGCTGCAAAATGTAGCGTTTGTAGTTAAAAAGGGAATCAGTGTTTTAGATAAAAGACGCCGTTAGCCAAACGAGACATATATCTTTTTATTCTATCTTAATCATAAGTTAATAAGAGTATTATATTTTTATGTTTAATAGAAACATAAAAATAATAAAAAATAGTTTGGATTATAGTGAAATTGTAAAAAACTATTAAAAAAATCAACAAAAACTTTAAAATATATAAAAAAAACTAAAATTTATATAAAAAAAACTTTAAAAATGAATACAAATAGATAAAACACATAATAATATTTTTAAAAAAAATATGGAGACCTTTTCCGATGCCTCTGTCACCTCCGATCGGTGGATATTGTCACCTTGTATAAAAATGCCATTTTATGAAAATACTATGAAGATGGCATTATTGTTTTAGAAAATGCCAAAATTTTATCTAAAACCAGTAAACCACCGTCAAGATGGCATTACTCATGCATGGTTTCATTTTCTGGTGGTCGAAACTAGTGATGCTAGGAGGTGGTTGAGGCAGCAGCATAGCCTTGCATATTTTTTTAGGTTTTTTTATTCTTTAAGTTTCTTTTATAATTTGTTTTTCTAGTTTTCTTTATTAATTTTAAATAAAATTTATTTTCATGTTTTTTATTTTTTTTAAATAAAATTTCATTATAAATAGGGAAAATGGAAACTAATAATCTAACCTTTTAGCGGTCTTCTTTTAATAGTCTCATCTTTTCGTTATTCATGAATAATCCAACCTTTTCACCTCATCTTCATTCACTAGTCCCTGGCCGGTTGATGACCTGCTATTCCAAGTTATTTTCTTATCTTTGCAAAATATTATCTTTGTGAAAGGTGGAATTTATGGTATAATAGTTTGCAAAGATAAAAAAAAATAACTCGGAATAGCAGGTCATCAACCGGTTGGGGACCAATGAATGAAGATGAGGTGCAAAGGTTGGATTATTCATGAATAATGCAAAGGTCGGACTATTAAAAGAAGACCGCTAAAAGGTTGGATTATTAGTTTCCATTTTCCCTTATAAATAAAGTTAATTTATTGCTTTTATGTCTCACTTAGTAATAAGAATTTGAATTGTATTACAACATAACAAGGGGATGATTAGAAAGTTACTCCTATCTAGAGAATCAAGTATACTCATATTTTTGTAATTAAAGTGATCGAGTATTAATCTTAGAGAGTAGTGGGAGCTAGAGAGAGAGAAAGTGAGCCATTAATATTTTTCAACTCTATATAACTTTCCTCTAGAGGGCTATTTATATGGGAAAATGTGGGTTTGGACTCCGAGCCTTAGGCTTAGAAGACCCGTTATAATAATAAGGCCTCTAATGGGCTGAGTACATGATTTATTTGACTAAGTATAAGATCTGTTCTACTTTGGTCTCTTTGGCCGACGGAGGACCAGGCCGAAGGAGTACCAAGTTATGCCACTGGACTTCTGGACCATATTCTGAGTTGATAGGTGTTTGGCCGACGCATGACCATCCGGTCGATGCATGACCATTTGGCCGACAGAGGACCATCTAGACGACGGGGGACCACGTCGGTGCCAACTGTCTGTTTTAGTCTTCTGAGTATGTGGGGCATGGGGTCCAGGCTCATATACTTTATCACAAAGTTTGGTTTAGGCTATGTTTGGCACAACGATCTAGAGCGGCAGACTAATGTCTGGATTTATGGCTATTGTCTTAATGAGAGACTAACGTCTGAAATTGAATTATGAAGTGATGAATCTGAATTACAAGCTGAATGAAGTAGATTGGTTTGGCATAAAAGTTGAAAGAGTGGCCAGGAAATATAAAATTTCAAGTGGAATCACAAATTTCGGCTGAGCCTCATCCCATGATCAATCTCGATAATTGTATAAACAACCACATTTTATGTTTGTTAGTCCTAGATAAGGATTTTTTACGAGAATATTACTAAAATAAAACATATTTGCATAACTATGACTATTCATTACTACAACGTAGTGTTGTGGTAACTTAAGTTCAAAACTTGAACATGAATTACTATGATTTCATTACTACTCTAGTAACTAGTCATATTTTTTGTTAAG